TGTCTCTTTGTACATATGGGCAAGCATTTCTTTAGGGGAGCTATCTATGGTTTGGCAATTTCTGCCGCCTCTAATTGCATTGCCTGGTATCTGGCAGACGATCTTCCGCATGCACAATAACTTTTCGCGTCCGCGCTCCATTCTAGTGTACGTTTTAAAAAGAAGTTCTAGGCGACAATTAGGGATCTAAGTTTAAGTTCAGATTCCATGCGGATCGCGGTAAGCCACTGAGGTGACGCTCGAATGAACAGAGACACACGGCTACGCTCACCCATGACCCGGCCATTGTGATGGGGAGCCGGCAAGATCCCCCTCCCTCAAGCACCCTCTGTTAGGCATACCTCGATTCTGCAAACATTAAAATATGAGAAAAATGCATCTTGGGATAGAGGAGTTCTGGTGTTTTAGTCTCCCTAAGTCCCTGGTCGGCAAACTTCGGCTCGCGAGCCCCAAGGGGCTCTTGGGCCCCTTGAGTGTGGCTCTTCCACAAAAGACCACGGCCTGGGCGAGTCTATTTGGAAGACGTGGCGTTAGAAGAAGTTTGAGTTTTAAAAGTTGGGCTGTCAAAAGAAATTTCAATCGTTGTTCTGTTGATGTTTGGCTCTGTGGACTAATGAGTTTGCCGACCACTGCCCCAAGTGAATAGATAGCCTATTGCTTCGCCCCCATATTTGAAGCGTCCTTCCTTGTGAGTTGATACAATTGCTTTACTACTAACTCATCCCCTCCACTCCCCAGGTGGAATAGTCTCTGCACTATTAAGTCTTTCTTTCTTGTTGTTGATCCTCACCTGAGGAATTTTTCCCCATTTATTTATTTATTTTTTTTTAGAGATAGTAGGAGGAGAGAGGAGGGAGAGAGAGAGAGAGCGCGAGAGAGAAACATCAATGTGAGAGAGACATATCGATTGGTTGCCTCCTGCACATGGGCGAGGATTGAACCTGCAACCCAGGTACTTGCCCTTGACTGGAACTTGAACCCGAAACCCTTGGGTGCTGTGGCCGATGCTCTAACTACTGAGACACACCAGCCAGGGCTCGACTATTAACTTTTTATCTATGTGTCTGTTCCCAGGTGTCTGAGCTAGTTCAGGGGCCAAGCTTTCCTGTAGTCTTAGTTTTGAGAACTTTCTTGCACGTTTGTCTTGTGTCTGCTGCTCCTCCTTCTTCCCACACTGTCCCTTTCACACGGGGCACTTCCTAGCTGTTCACACCGGCATGGCGCTGCATCATGGCGGGTCTGCCGTGAGAACGTCTGTGGCAGTCAAGGCCCTGCTTTCCTCAGGGCTTGACACGGAGCTTGCATCGGCACACAGCGATGTCTCATCCTCTCTCTCCGCCCGGGACACCTCCCAGCATCCCTGCTCCAACGTCAGTGATGCCCGAGTCTTGAATGATGTCAATCTGAGTTGAAAATGTGCCAGCTTTCTTAGCATGATCACTAACAGACTGTTTAATTAACCTGGGATACTGTCAATAGTTGGTCTTGCTGGTGTGCTGGAGAGGAGAGCGTGGCCACCCATGGCTGGTCTTGGTCTCGCTTGCTCTCTCTCTGTCTTTTCCACTTGCTCTTCACTTCTGGCTCTCAGAATCTGTGACTCGGGAGCTGGACTGGCCAGGAGCCGATGGGAGGGACCAGGGGTGGCCTGGAAGGAAGAGGGCAGGACGGAACGTTCTGGATGAGATCATGGCAATGAAACGACTGGAGCAGGCCAGCCATCTCGCTGCTCAAAGGCAGCTAACCTGTGCATACAGCAGGTGCCCAGTACATGGACAACCAGTATACACAGTCAGCAGAAGCAATGACGGTGCATGTGCCGTTTGAGTGGGCAGTGAGCATGAGGGTGTTCTAAGGGAGGAGCCTGGGGTTGCCCTCGTTCTGAGGTGGCTTTTAGGGTTTTCTCTGCTGCCTCTTCCCCCACCCGGACAGCTTAGAGGAGAGGGCAGCTTCCCCATGCCGAAAAGTGCCCTGGAGGCGCTGAGGAGGGGGGGAGGGGGCTGGGTTTTACCCCCTTTCATTCTTTCTCCTTCAAGTCATTTTGTGTTTGAACCCAAGTCCTGCTCTGTCCTGATGTAGCTATAATACATCGCATATTTGAAAATTGATGAGAGCAAGCAGGATGTCACCTATGGCTACTGGACCATCAGCTCCAAATCCATACTCTCTTTTCTTTTTCTGTCACTTTTTCCTACACACACACACACACGCACACGCACATGCACACGCACACGCACACGCACACGCACACACGCACACACACGCACACACGCGCACACACACGCACACACACACGCACACGCACGCACACACACGCACACGCACGCACACGCACACGCACACGCACACGCACACGCACACGCACACGCACACGCAGAGCTGGAAATGTCTCTGCCATTCCTGGCTTCCCCTGACCGGGCGTGAGCACTGGTGCAGAGGCTGCGACCGGAGATCCCACGGAGCCCTCCCTGCAGCCCCGCCTCCTGCACCAGGGGAGCGGGGAGGCGCTTGCAGAGTGAGCTGCCCTCCTGACTTGAAGTCCAGGCTCGTTCCTGGACCACATTCCTGTGGCCTTGTCTTTCCCAGAACAGCGGTGGAGGAGGCTGCTCCCCGAGGGCAGAGGCGGATGGCTTTGGGGGCAGAGACCCCCAGGACCCTCCCCGGTGGTTGGGTTGGGTCTCCTGGGAATGGCAGGCCTGGCAGCCCCAGGGGGTAAAGGACCAAGAGCAAAGCTGTCGCCACTGAACGCACAGGCTGGGTGCCCGCCTTCCCAAGGCCACGGTGGGGGCCAGCGCTGGCGGGAGCTCCCCTCTGAGGGCGAGGAGCGGGAGATTCGGCATCAGAATTAGAATCCAAGCCCAGCTGTCCCGAAACCGGGTTCCCAGCCTCTCCTCCTTGGCATCAGATTCACTTTCCTAACCCTGGGGCCTCTAGATGTGTGCGACACAGGGGTTTTCAACATCAGCGCTACTGACGTTTTGAGCCGGATAATTCTTTGCTGTGGGGCAGTGCTGTGCATTGTAGGATGCTTAGCAGCGTCTCTGGTCTCCACCCGCTCGATGGCCTATAGCAGTGGTCGGCAAACTCATTAGTCCACAGAGCCAAATATCAACAGAACAAGGTTGAAATCTCTTCGGAGAGCCACATTTTTTAAACGTAAACTCCTTCTAACGCCACATTTTCAAGATAGACTCGCCCAGGCCATGGCATTTTGTGGAAGAGCCACACTCCAGGGGCCCAAGAGCTGCATGTGGCTCGAGAGCCGCGGTTTGCCGACCGCCGGCCTATAGCAACCCCTGCACACCCCAGGCTGTGGTCATCAAAAAATGTCTCCAAATGTTGCCAGGTGTCTCACAAAATCAACCCGGTTGAGAGCCACTGAATCAGCCCGCTGAGCGCCTGCCCGGTGGACAGCCGTGGCCTGGCGCAGAGGAGGTCTGCCCGTGGGTACCACCGCGGCTGAGTGTCTTGCGGCCACGTGAGGGCTACTCAGAGATGACATCTGTGCTGCAAACGCATTTAAAAACTGGGTTTTCTCTCCAAAGACCGCAGAGCCTCTTGGTCTTCCCTCTGCATTTTCCATCTTCCACTTTATCGGAAAAGGAGACCGAGGCTCGGAGGCCCCAGGCCTTGTGCCACCCCTCACCTGCAGGACCCTGTCCCCCCGCTGCGAGCACCCCGGGCCCCTCTGCGCCCGGCGTTGGCTCAGGCACCAGGAGCATCTGCGGTCCTCCTCCCACTCCACCTGCCCACAGGCCCCGCCGCCCTCCAGCTCCCCAAACCCTGGTCCCCCCGCCCCCCCCACTAGAGGGAGCGGGGAAGCAGCAGGTGTTGATGCTAATCAGCGTTCACAGCCCAGAACTGCAGTCGCTCCCAGGCTCACACACTCCCCAAAATTAAACACTCATTATACAAAATTAATTGACATTAATTAGCAAAAATTAAAACTTTAAACACAGCAAGGCGCTTTGGGGGGAGGAGTGAAGCAGGCAGGCTCCACATTTGTCACCCACCCCCCCACTCCCCACCCGCCAGCCCACCACCCCCAAGACCCCCACTTGCATCCTGGAGCAGAGTTGGAGGAGTTCAGGTGAGGTCAGCACCCACACCCAGCCTCGGGCCCAGGCCCAGGCCCAGCCCTGCGAGTCCCCGGGGGCTAGCCACCAGCTGATGGGTGGCCCCCAAACTCTGGCATCCAGCATTTACTATGGGTCCAGGAACCCTCCCCTCAGCCAGGCCCCCATTCTCTCAGCTGAGGTGGGTGGGCATGGTCAAAGGATGAACCAGCCTTCTGAAGCCAAAGGTAGGATATTCCTGTAGCCCTGCCTGACCCCGCCCTCTCCCCATCTCCAGGGTATCCAGAGGACCAGGCTCTGTGACCTTCCAGCTCTGCCCCACTTTGCTATGTGACCTCAGATAAATCCCTACCCCCCCCCCCCGTCTCCCCCCCCCTCCCCCGTGAGCCTCAATGTTCCATCCATATGATGAGGGGGCGGTGCTGGGTGAGCACTGAGGTTCCTGCCGCTCTGGCACCTGCTGTCAGAGAAGCAAATCTCTGGGAACCTGATTCGCTCTGAGGAGCAAGGGGCTGGATGTGGGGTGCTGAGTTGCTGATGGGGGAGCATTAGGCACTGGGGGTGGGGATGTGTCTTCAGGCCAGAGAGCCCCCCAGATGGGCACCCATTTGGCCAGCCTGCAGGGGGCGGTCTCCTGGATCACTGGCCGCTCTGTAAGCCCTGAGCAGTCCCCCCTTCCTCCCTAACAGCGGCTGTTTTCCAGCCTTGCTCACCAGGTTCTCGGGGTCCCCCAGACCCCTCACCAAGCCGATAGGCACCAGAACCACACCATCCCCCCCTGCGTTTGAGCACAAGCTTGGCATCTATTCAGAACGCCGCCAGCTGCCCTTGCTTGGGCGAGGAAGGCTTGGGCGAGGGTGGAGCCCAGTGGTCTTACCAAGTGCAATGCCATCCTCCCCCTCACTCCTGCTCTTCCTCTCTCTCCAGCCAGCGCCAACATCTGCAACGTGGTCCTGATGCGGTACGGGGAGCTGGAAGAAGGGATCGATGTAATGGATGGTGACGGCAACCTCGTGGGCTCCTCCAGGATCGCAGCCAGACATGTGGGTCCTCCCAAGGCTGGGGGCGTGGGGAGGTGGGGGGAGCCACAGGGAGGGTGTGGGTTTCCCCTAAATGTTCTCATTCTTCAAAGACTGTTGTCCGCAGCACCCTCACTTTGTCCTCTTAGTCTCTCCTCCTCACCCGGCCCCACCTGCCAACTGTAGGAGCCCAGCCTGGAGGCCTGGCCCAGCCTCACCTGGCCCCTAGACGCCCCTGCTTCTCTCCAGATGCCCTCTCCTCACCGCTGCGAACTGTCCCTGTCTCTCCTCCCAGCCCCTCAGGGCCCAGCTTCTCTGGCCTGTTAATTGGTGCCGGCAGGATGGACCCCAGAGCTTTCCCTTCCCTCCCCGGGGCCTGGGCCGGGCCCCTGGCCCTCACGTCCCCTTGGGTCAGAGGAGGAAGTGTGGGCGCGGTGCTGTGTGTTCTGTGCTAATCAGCCGCCTGCACTTGGCGCCTCACTGGGGAGTGAGTGCGCTAAGGTGCGGAGTTTGGGGCTTGCAGAGGAGGGGCGGGGGGGGGGTGTTTTGTTACTGGAGGGCCCTTTCCCACCTCGGTGTCACCGCCTCACCCACTCTAGCAATTGTAATATATCTTTTAACGCCGGTAAGCTTGTGTCCAGCCCTCTCCCCAGGTGACCAGTGGCTCTCCCTGCTCTGGCTTCCAGGTGCTGGGGCCCGGGGTTCAGCGGTGAGGTAGCATTTCTGCTCCAGGCACTGTCCCTCCTCAGCTCCCACAGAGGCCCAGCCTCGCCTCTGTCAGGGCGGCCTCCTCTATATGTCTCTCCCCACCGGCCTCCCCTCCCCTCTGTTTCGGGGAAAGTGAGTGCCCAACCAAGGCTCTGAAGGAAAGGGGCTCAGGTTGCCAGCGCCAATGCTGCGCCCCCTCTCCCCTCCAACACCCTCCCTGCTCCCCCCCCTCACACACATGAGCTCTGGGGCCCCTCATTCCCATTTGGGAGGGAGCCTGGAGGAACCCTCTCCCAGGCCTTCCTGAGGCTGGTCACAAAGGACCCTGTTCCTGGGAGAAATTCCCTCCCTGAGCCTGTCATCCGAAGGGATTTGGCCTCAGTTTCCTCCCTGGGACCAACCTCCTCTCTAACCCTTACTCTTTCTTGACTTGCTGTGAGGGAGGCTGATGTTGATGATCCTCTTTGTGGTCCAAATGGCGGGAGCCCCAAGCTCTCTGCAGCCCTTGGCTGCTCCCCAGCCTGGCTGTTGCCCCTTGCTGTCGAGGGAAGACCAGAAATCTGGGGGCTACCAGTCGTTCCTGGAGGACCCAAGCCTGAGGGGTTAAAGGGACTCCCCACAATGACCTGCAGCATGTAAGGGTGCCACTGAGCTGTGCCCTGACTGTGCCCTCAGCCGGAATCCCTAGGGAGTCCCAGAGCCAGGCCCAGGCAGAGCCCTTCGGGAGACTCGCAGACACTCAGCAGAAGGGCCTTCCCCCTGGTCACCAAGGAAACCTCCCCCTCCTCCTCCTCCTCCTCCTCCTCCTCTTCCTCCTCCTCGGATCTTGGTCTCTAAGGGATGTCAGAAAACGGCCATTCCCAGGGTCTCTGTCCCCCCTCGGCACCAGGCCCCTGCTCTTTGCTGGGGTCCTCCCAGGGCCTGCTTAGACTTGAGAGCATCTCAAGTTTTCCTGTTGCTTCCCCCCAAGCCCCGGCACCTGCCACCCACCCGGGGCACCCCCTTGGGCACTTCTGTGTTGCTGCCCGCCCCCCCCCCACGTGTGGCAGGTTATGGGATCTGCTCTTCAGACATGTGTGCTGAGAAGGCGTGGTGGCTTTCTGGGTTGTTGGAGTGCAGCTCCGTGAGCGAACCCATGAATTATTCCCCTCAGCCAGACCTGCTTAGCCTGATGCACACACCTCCGTGCCCAGGGGTGGGACTGGCTGCCAGCGGCCATGCCCCAACCTGGAGGCCCCACTCACCACAGCCTCTACTCGCCCCTCAGGCCCTGCTGGAGACGGCACTGACGCGAGTGGTCCTCCCCATGCCCATCCTGGTGCTCCCTCCAATCGTCATGTCCATGCTAGAGAAGTGAGTTGGGGCAGCCGGGACCCTGGGGCCACCACTGGGCATGAGGGGGAGGGAGGGGACTGCTGGCCCAGGTCAAGGGATGGGATGGTGGTGGTGGTGGTGGTGGTGGTGGTGGGGTGTTATTCAGACTCTCCCAGGCAATACTGCTGGGATCTGTGAGAATTCATGGGCTTTCTCTGTGCAGAACCCCGTGCAAGGTTGTTGGGGAGGCTAGCCCTGCCCTGAACAACTGGAGATTCTGGCGTGTGTGTGTGTGTGTGTGTGTGTGTGTGTGTACACACGCTATTGCTGCACAGGGCAGGACCAGCTGTGACGAGAGTCCGAGGACTAAATATGGAGCCAGCACCACCCCTTCCTGGCATCCACCATGAGGCATGTCCATGCCATGGAGCCTCAGTTTCTCCATTTCTAACACACAATCAGTGCCCCCCTCCCCCCTCCCTCGGAGGGATGCTCGGAGAACACACGCTGAAGAGAATGACTGAAGAGAAATGAGGGGACGCAGTAATAAAACAATGGAAGAGTGATTGTATTAATTAATGGGTGTGAAAGTGAGCCATGAAGACTGCAATGCTGTTGGAAGGAGGAGCTGAGCAGGGAGGGAGGGAGGTCAGGGCCCATCTTCAAGCACTTTGGGTAGGATTAGGGTGAATCTGGGAGGAAAGGAGCGGGGAGGGTCTAGGTTGGGGGCACAGATGAATAAAAGCCTGGAGGTGCAGACCCCTGGGGGTGCAGGAAAAAAACACGGAGGAGACCGCTGCCTCCCTCCTGGGGGTCCAGCCCTGGAGGGAGCTCAGCTGGGCTGGGGGCAGCGTAAGCTGAGGGAAGGGTGGGGGGCAGAGCAGGATGTTCTCTTCAGTTTGGAGACCTTCTTATTCCCACAACACGAATTATAATAACAGTTACTATTCATCAAGCACTTGACTGCATCCCAGGCCTCTCAGCCTGGCCTCTGCCCAGATTCCATCCCAAACAGGCCCTCCCTGACCACCCCACGGAGGTAACAGGCACCCCCACTCTGCTCACGATGCCTTATTTTGATTCACACTGTTTAGCACTAGCTGAGATTCTTCATCTGGTTGTCTATTATCTGCCCGCCTCACTGTAATGTAATCTTCACAATGACAAGCAAATTCCTTTTCTCTACTGCCCGGCAAAGCATCGAGCACAGTTCCCAGCACACAGTAGATGCTCCGTGCTTGTTGAATGAATGAATGAATGAATGAATGAAGTGAATTTAGCCTTCACAGCAGTGCAATGAGGTAAATATGGCGTCTGGTTTTACAGATGAGGAAAAGAAGGCGAAGGCTTTGTCATCTGCTTACCCTTGTACACTAAGACAGTGGTCGGCAAACTGCAGCTCGAGAGCCACATGTGGCTCTTTGGCCCCTTGAGTGTGGCTCTTCCACAAAATACCACGGCCTGGAAGTGTCTGTTTTGAAGAAGTGGTGTTAGAAGAAGTTTAAGTTTAAAAATTTGGCTGTGCAAAGAAATTTCAACCGTTGTACTGTTGATATTTGGCTCTGTGGACTAATGAGTTGGCCGACCCCTGCCCTAGGAAATGGCAGAGGCAGCAGTGGCCCAGGACCGTGGCTGTAGTGCTCTGCCTGCCACACTGGCTGCCTCTGGGGTCTTCAGATCACATCTGCATGTCTTTGGGTCCCACCCTGCATGGAGACTGGGGAGGAGCGGGCTTGGGGGCCTGGCCTCAGAAAGCCTGTATCACCATACGGGAGATGGGTAGACCCACACACAGGCCAGCTGCCGGTGGGACGGGGGGCAATGTGAGGACAGGATTAAGGTGACCTTGAGGGGAGGGAGCACTGTGGGCCCAGCAGCAAGGAAGGCTGGTCCACAGGAGAGGGGCTGCAGTTGACTTTGAGAGCAAAATGGGACTTTCGCAGGAGGGAGGGCTTTCTGGGCAACACGTGGGCCTGAAGCTAAGTGTGCTCCACCCTCACACCCACCCCTTTCCGCCCCTGCTGCTAGGTGTAGGTCGGGGCATGGCATGTTGAGCCCTGGGATAGAAGACAATCAATCCCGTATGTAAGTTGCAAAACTAAACAGATCCTGGGAAGGCCATTGCTTTTGTGCCCCTGAGCCTTGGGTGCCAGCTGCCTTGAGAACGGAGGCTGTCCCCCAATACCAGCCACTGCGGTCCGCAGCACACCACGGGAGAGATGGGGGAGGCGGGCTCTGTGTTTAGGCGGCCAAACCCTGCGCCTGCAGTTACGGGGGAGGATGTGGTCTGTGAGGCCGCCCCGGTGGGCACCTGAGCTGAGTTTACAGAAAGTGCAGCGCTGGTTCGTGTCCCATTAGTTCAGGATCTTCCCCTCGGCTTTGAGAGGCACGAAGGTAGGAGGCCGGTTCTAGTTCTGAGCCTCGCTGGCCTGGGATCTGCTCAGAGCCTGGCTGCCCCGAGTCTGGCTCAGCTCAAGGTCCAAAGAAGCCCCCTGGGCACGTAGAGACTGCTGGCTTTGTACGTAGAGACTGGCTGGCTTTGTACGTGGGGTCTTCAGATCACATCTGCATGTCTTTGGGTCCCGCCCTGCATGGAGACCGGGGAGGAGCGGGCTTGGGGGCCTGGCCTCAGAAAGCCTGTATCACCATACGGGAGATGGGTAGACCCACACACCCATCTGGTCCTTCCCGGGAGTCTCTTGGTCAGTCTCTGGGGAGAAGGGAGAGTCCAGCCCGGGTTCGCCCAGGAATATCAAAATGAAAAAGACCCAGTGGATGTCCTCCAAGACTGACTAATTCATGGATGGGGGTGGGAGGTGCAAGACTGGGGGGTGGGAGGGCCAGCGTAGCAGCACCTGCTGAGACTCCTGGTAGGAGAGTGAACTCTGGGTTCTTGTTCTCTCACTATTGGGTCGGTTTGGTTCAAGAGACTCCCTCGCCTCAGTTTCCTTCCTGGAGGATGACCACTCAGCCACTTCTTCATTTCGTCCCCTGAGGCCGGGCATCCAGCAGGCCCTCGGCTCCCTGCAGGGGCCGCACTCAGCACCCCATGGCCTTCCCCTGCGGGGTGCTAGCGGCAGGGCCCTGCCGAGGAGGGGGTGGGGAAGGCGTCCCCACCCCCGGTGAGGGAGTCGGAGGAAAAAGACAAAAGAACACTTACCAAGCAGCCTGCTTGCAAATTAATGGAGTGCAAACTCGAATTGCTCCAAGTGCTGAGGGAATGCACAGCGGAGGCGGCGGGGACAGGAGCTGTTGGGTGTGTGTGGGGCTGGGGCCCAGCTGGCTTCACCTCTGGCCTCAGAGTCTCCCCTCGGAGAGGAGCCCTCTGACCTGCAGGAGAGAGTGGGTGCCTGGATGTTCAGGAGCCCCTGAGACAGAAAGGAAAGGGGTCTGAAGTCAGAAGCGGGGGAGCCAGAACTCCCAGCCCACAGTGGGGGGTGGGGGGGCTCCCTCTGCGGGTGCCCACTCCCCAGCTCACATCCCCTCACCGCACAGCCTCACGGCTGAGGAGGAGGCTGGGAGGTGGGGAGAGCGGCCCCTCCCCCACAATCTCCCTAACTCTGCCCTCAGCCCCCCACCCCTACCCCTGAAGTTCATCCCCCAGCTCAGCTGGGTCTGGGGTTCAGCTCACACCCTGCGAGGTGGTTCCTGAGGCCGCTCCTGCCTCCTTCATTCCTTGGGATCCGGGTCTTTCCTTTCTCCCAGTCAGTCGCACATCTCTCCATCTGCATATTTTAATTCCCCCAGCTGCCTCTCCAATCCCTCCCTGCCATTTCCCACCTCCCCTCCCCTCCCCCTGTCCTGCTGTGTTCAAGCCAGTGCCTGCGCTGGGCTGGGACGTCCAAGGAGCCTCCTGCTTGGCTGCAGCCTCAGGCCCGCCTCCTTCCAGGACCTCCAGAGTCCCCTGCCCCAAGGGGGGGGGGGGGGGGGGGGGGGGGGGGGGCTTCAGCCAGCCCCCCTGAGAGAGGAGCGGGGTCACGGCCCCACATGGAAGGGGGTCTGTCTGGGGCTCCCAGGGAGGAGTTCATGGCCTGCCCCTCCCCTGCCACCTTCTTCCTCCCTGCCACCTCCCTTGCCCTCAGTGGCCCTTGGGGCTCTACCCCAGGGAGTCACACCCTCCAGTTCCACTCCCCCTGTCCGCTTCCCCCTGGGGACTGAGGGCCCAGCTGCCTTCCACAGCTCGCAGAGCAGGGCTCTGGGTCTGTGTGCCAGTCTGGAGGGTGAGCCCTGTGTCCCACCCCCTTCTCCTGCGGGAGAAGTTGACCCTCATCAAAAAGGGCTCGGGGCCCCTCTCAGCCTTTCTCCTGGCCCCTCCGGGACCCCTGTGGGAGCCCAGGAGGCCTGGGGCCGAGTCCATGGCCAGTGGAGGCTTGTGTGGAGGAGAGGGCGAGCGTGGGGCCACTGGATTGAGGCCAAGGGGAGGTCCGGGAGGCTTGAGTTTGACTCGGCACTTTTTCCTGCAACTCTTGATGCTGCGGAAACTTCCCTCTCCAGCAACTCAATTCAGGCTTAATTCGGCAGCTGGATGGATCTTGAGGTCTGGGCTGGTGGGAAGGGCTGGAGGACAGACAGCCCAGCCACCAGGATCCCCCTCTTTCCTGCACATACAAAGGCAGCAACAATGCACAATGACTCAGCACTTACTCTGTCCAGGCCTTTCACTTGCATAGAATTGACCAGTAACCGGATCTTACCGGTCCCTTCGCAGGAACATCCTGGACCAGGGTTTCTCAGAAGTGACTGGGACCCATCACCTGTTTTAGACTCACGAAGGTTGTTTGAAATGCAGGCTCTCAGGTGCTGGGCCAACTGAGTCAGGATTTCCTGGAGAAGGGGCCCTTGGGTGTCTGCATTTTCAACCCGCTGCCTATACACCGAGTTGGAGAACCGCTGCTCCCTTGTAGCTGTCCGCTCAAGGCCAAGTGCTCCTGGGATACTTGTCCCAGGAGGGGAAGGTGGTGTGGGGTTTACCTGCCCCCCACTGAGGCCCTGCCCCCAGGAGGGCCTCCTCCCCTGCCAGGGGCCACAGGCAGTCCTGCTCCAGAGGGGCCGGGGCAAGAGCCCGGATTGTATCGCCTTCGTACCAGGAGCCAGTTGCAGGCCTGTGGACGCTGACACAGTGACTGGGGTCAGATTTAGCCCATCCAACGTCCCCTGGCCAATGGTCCCGTCATCCGTCCTCTGGCGCACCCTCCCCTCGACCTCCCCAAGCAGAGGCTCAGGGTCTTCACCAGACAGTACGGTGGACAACGCAGTGAAGGACTATCCACCTGCCAGTTGGTATGCCCCCAGTCTGTCCGGACAGCCCTTTTTGTCCTGGAGCTGGGGGACCCGGGCCTAGAGGGAGGCTTTTCAGACCCCTCTCCTACCCAGGAATCCCAGCTTCGAAGCTTGTCCTGGAGAGAGGGTGTCAGCTGTGACATGTCAGCAGGCGATGAAACATGGGTCCTGAGGGCGGGAGCCGGGAGCAGCACGGGGTGGCAGCACTTGCAGGGAGTCAGGAGTCCAGGCAGCAGCCAGCTGGCCTCCAGCAGGTCTCGCCGTGGCCTTGGGCAAGCCCCTGCCCCTCTCCGTGGCTCTTGGATTGAAGCTGATGAAATAATCAGTGGGGCATGTTCTGTTCCCACACACAGAATGGGGTCACCCCCTCCCGGCTGGGTGTATATATGTGTGTGCACACATGTGCATGCATATATATAGGTATGTGTGAGTACATGTGTGCATGTGTGTGTACACGTATGTGCGTGTGGTGTATAAGGCTTTGCTGAACATCACGGTGAAGGTACATGTGTGCATGCATGTATGTGTGTGCATGGATGTGCCCATGTAGGTGTGGTCTGACTCTCCCCTGTGCTTGGCACCTACTCTGGTATGTTTGCTCTTTTATCATGTGCTGCCTTCCAAGGTGATTTACTCTCCCGGGTGTCTCCCCAGGCACGGGGACGACAGCATGTGGCCCTCTTTGCACAGGGCTGGGCCCAGGGTGGGGTGTGGGAAGGCCCCCACAAGGCTCATCTATGATGTATGGTTGAGAGTCCAACCAACAACGTCCTTCATGGCAGGGCTTGGGGGAGACCCAAAGGCAGAATTCCACCACAGCTGTTTGCCACGGCTGGGGCTGGCCCGGAACCACGCTGCCCTGGCCCTGTGTCCTGGTAGGACCCAGTGTGGTGACCGGGGCTGCTCACCCCGTCTGCGCTCTCATGGGCTGCCCCCTCCTCTCCTTGCAGGACGGCTCTCCTGCAAGCCCGCCCCCGGCTGCTTCTTCCTGTGCAAAGCCTCGTGTGCCTGGCAGCCTTCGGCCTGGCCCTGCCTCTGGCCATCAGCCTCTTCCCACAGATGTCAGAGGTCAGTGAGGGGAGGGGCTCACGGGCAGGACGGGCGGGTGTGGTTAGGCCATTTACTAAGGAATACTTACTCAGCACTGGCTCCTTTGCACTGGGCTGGGTGCTGGGGTTCGAACCATGAATGAGACAGACATCTCTGAGCTCAGAGTGAAGCATTAACACAACAATGAAACAGGGAATAGGACATGAAGGATGAGGCGTGCTAGGGTAGGACCACCTGAGCTGGACGTGGGAGGAGACAGTGGGGAGCACCCCACAGAGCCTTGAGGGAAGTGGCACTTTCTGGGGCCTGAAGGAAGGGCTAGAGTTGGCCGGGTGTGCAGTGGGCGATGGGACACGTGGGCTGAGGTCACCGGGGGTGAAGGCAGCACACAGCATGGTTCAGAGCTGAGCAAAGTCTGCAGCCGGAGCAGAGAGAGGAGAAGGATGAGGTGGGTCAGGCGGCGCCGGGAACCTGGGAGCCAGCGCAGAGGGTCGCGGTCATCAGAAGGGCTGTGCAAAGCTGGCCCGCAGGTGCTGCTTTCGAACTGCATGGCTGGGCTGGAGCTCCGGGCGAGGAGCAGCCACCAGGAGGCGTGGCGGGCGTCCAGTGAGAGATGATGGCGGCTTGGACCAGGCTGTTGGCACTGGGCATTGTGGGAAGCAGGTCCTTTCTGAGAGTCAGGAGGCAGCTTCGTGAGCGTTGAGGAGCTGTGTGTGGTGGGAGGGGAAGGGAGCTGCAGGAAGGGTGCCCGGCTTTCTAGTTTTGAAAGACCAGGCGAATGTAGGTACCACGTGATGGGACGTAGGGACCGGTTTGAGGGAGGACAGCATGTTGTATCTGGTGGACACGAGGGGTTTGGGGAGCCTGGAGGAGCTGGCGCTGGGTCTGGGAGACAGAAGTGGGGCCACCAACATAAGAAACAGTCATGAGATTGGGGGGAGCGGAGGGTGGAGATCCACCAGGGAGCCTGTGGGGAAAGGAAGTCCTCGGGGAGGGGTGGTGACTGAGGATGGGTGACCAGGGAGGCAAGGACAAGCCAAGTGGGATTCGGGGCTGGTGGGCCGATCACAGAGTCACATGCTCCTGAGAGGTGAAGCTCCAAGAGGGTGAGGAGTGAGTGTCTTGGTGTCTCAGGCAGGGAAGGCAAACCCTGACCCAAGGGGAGGTGCAGCTGATGGGTGAGGTCCCGCCGATGGGTGAGGAACCCGGGTGGCAGGCAGAATGTTTGGGATCAAGGGAAAAACGAGAAACAGACCCATAGCTGGAATGAGGTGTGGGGTAAAGAGAAGCTTGTATTCATTTCTCCCTTATTTTTGTTTTAAAAAACGTTTTCGTTGAATTTGTGGGGGTGACGTTGGTTAGTAACGTTACATAGGTTTCAGGTGTGCAGTCCTATCATGCATCCCCTGTACATGGTGTTGTGTGGTCACCACCCCAAGTCCAGGCTCGTTCCCTCAACATGTATCCCCCTTTCCCCTCTGCTCCCCCCTCTCCTCCTTTCCCTCGGAGATCGCCATACTGCTGCCCGAGGCTATGGGCACCCCCATGGCATTTACAATAGCCAAGGTCCGGAAGCACCGAAGTGTCCACAGTACAATGAGCAGATAAAAAAGCTATGATACATTTACACAACGGAATACCACTCGGCCGTGAAAAAGAAGGAAAGGTTACCCTTTGAGACAGCATAGACAGACCCGGAGAGCAGTATGCTGGGTGGAGTAAGCCAGTCATAGGAAGGCAAGTACCATATGATTTCACTCGTGTGTGGAATCTGATACGCAAAAATAAGCTAGCAAATAAGATAGAAACGGGTTCACAGGTATTTCCCCTTCTATACACGGGAGAAAGGGGCACTTGTATGTACAAAAAAGAACACACCAAGAGCGAAGTGGAGGATGAGGATGGAGAGCAAAGTCTATGAAGTGGGGGGTGGGGACTCAAGGGAGTCGCTTTGACAGGGAGAGAGTCCTCCCCACCTCAGCTTGGGGAGACGGATGCAGTTGGGGTGGGGTTCAGGGGTGGAGAGGTTAAGGAAGTTGTTCTGATAGTGTCTGGTCTAAAGATGGAGCAGAGAGGAAGCAAGAGGTGGGGACAGGGAAGGTCAGAAGTTTGACGGCTGTGGAGAAGCTTCTAGACATTCAGAGGAGTGAGTGGGAGAGACAGCTGGCCAAGGATGTCAGAGAGCCCGATGGCAGTGTGGGGGTGGGGCAGGGGGTCAGCAGAGGGGAAACTGAGGGGGACACAGGCCTGTGGCTGTGGGCAGGGCCTGTCCACCCAGAGGTGCTGGGGCCAGCTCCGGGCACCACAGGGCTCTCTCAGAGGGTTTTGTCCGGCTGGCTGGAGCCTTTGGCAGGCCGGTGAGAGGTCCGGAGAAGCGGCGGGCCCTGGAATCTCAGCGAGTGGAGGGGAAGGTGGGCAAGCTAGCTGGTGGGAAAGCAAGGTGGTGAGATGTCAGAGAGTGGACTGGGTATGTGGAGTCACTGAGCTCGCGGCAGATGGAGGCTGTGGCTGGAGCTGTGCACTTCTGAATCTGCTCTATCCAGGGACTGACCCTGCTCTAGCCTCCAGAAACAGTGGGAGGGTACCGGTGCTCAGAGGGAAGTCAGGGAAGGTGAAAATTCGGGTCCTGGGTGTTAAACCTGGCCTGTGAGGCCTGGGACCCAGCGTCTTGGAGCAGGAGTTGGTGACCCAGCCTCTGCAGTCCTAGGAGGGTGAGAACGGAACCCCCAGAGTCCTAATAGGACACTATGAGGTGATGGGGCTCCTATCTCGAGGGCCAGCCCACATCGGGATGGCAAGCCTACTGTGTGATCTGTGCCAGCAGTACCCGTAGGCCCACAGGGCCCAGCCTTGTTATGAAGCCAGGGATGCCTCCCGTCTCCTTTCCCTCCCCCCATGGAAGCTGCACAGCTATTAGCTGATGCTTGGGGCCTCCACGTGGAGCCCCGGGCTGCAGGTTGTGTCTGGAAGGTCTAAAGATGTGGAGAGGGCACTTCTCAGAGGCCCAGGCATGCCCCTCCCCGAAGCCGCTGCATCTCTCTGTGTCGTTGGGCTGAGCCTGCGGTTCTAGACGAGGATCCAAGGGCCCTGTGTGCTTGGAGGCACCACGTGGTCAGATGTTCCAAGCAGCCCTCACGGCTCCCCTGTCTGCACAGGAGAGGGACTCAGGGCCGACAAACCCAAGGTACAGAATCTAAGACTGTGCCTGTGCAAAGGACTTTAAAGGCCATGGTTTACCATCCTGCTGACTCTGCTGGGGACAGGAGGCCCAGAGCAGCCCCGGACCAGCCCAGAGTCACAGAAGAGAGGGCTGATACGGAGGGAATCCCAGAGGCCACACCCAGGCCAGAGCTCCCAGGAAGTGCTGCAGCCGCTTGTGCTGTGGATTTCCTCTCCTCACTCAACCACCCAACCTACCTGCGCTGGGGCTGCCCTCAGTGGGGAAGCATCAGGTGGGAGCGCTGTGGGTCTTTGAATCCCCAGTTCCTCTGGGGCTGATAAGGGGGGGACAGCGGGAGGTGGTCTCAGTGAGCAGCACTCCTCTCCGGCTGCAGGCTCCTCTCGTGTGTGTGTGTGTGTGTGTGTGTGTGTGTGTCCCCAGGTCTGCCTCAAACAGGCCCAGTTCTCTGGGTGTCTCACTGCGACCCAGGCTTCTTTCTCTAGAGTGGGAAGACTATAGTCTTTGCATAATACGGTTGTTTCCTGGGAAAGCAGGGTGGGGATGTGATTTTTCAGAGCCCCCTCCTCACCTGAATCAACCCCAACAGGATGCAGGCAGGCCTGGGCATTATGGGGTATGTTGTGTGTGTGTGTGTGTGTGTGTGTGTGTGTGTGTGTGTTTAAATACATTTATTGATTTTTTTTTTAAAGAGAGGAAGGGAGAGGGACAGAGAGTTAGAGACATCGATGAGAGAAACACATCCATCAGCTGCCTCCTGCACACCTCCCACTGGGGATGTGCCCACAACTAAGGCACATGCCCTTGACCGGAATCAAACCCGGGACCCTTCAGTCTGCAGCCAACGCTCTAGCCACTGAGCCAAACCAGTTAGGGCATGGGGTGTTTTGAGACCTGTCTGTGACCTACAGCACCAAGGCCATCAGCAGTTAGCTAAGAGGACCTTGTCCCCCCTCCCCCCATTCTTCCTCCCAATTAATTCTCTCTAACAAGGCGCTGCCTCTGCCATCGGGGATCACGTCTCACATCCCAGAAGCCGGTGGGATTTGCCACAATAAGCCTGGACTTGCCTGGGCTGACCCAACCTTGCCAAGAGCCACCAAGGTTGTCAACAGGAGTAATCGCTGGGACACTAATTAATTAATTAGGGAACATGGAAATTGCGCTTAGGAGCTGGTTCCCAGCCTGGCTGGCCTTGGTGTGTGGTGTTTGGCATGAGGCTTCCAACCCACCAACCCCAGAGGCTGAGAGAACTTCCATCGCTGGGCCGAGTCTTGTTTTGGCCTTTTCAGATAAGTCTTTCTGCCTGTTGAAATGGTGCTAGATTTTTAAATAAAAATAGCAAATAATAATAATAGCTACCATTTACTAGTCACCTACGATGCCAAGCAGCATGCTGGGAAACTCTGCATGTCTTGCTGTGTTCAATCTTCCTAATGTCCTTGAAGGCTGAGGGATTTCTGAATGATAGGTGCCTCGGCGAACTGAAGTTGAGGAAGGGATGAGGCCACCGTGTGTGGGTGGGTGGGTTGTGGCGGGGAGGCATCAAGAGCAGCCAGGGGCAGGGGGAGAATCGCTATGGAGTGGCTTCACTGATGCTGAGGACAAGGGTATTTCAAGGAAAAGGGAGCTCTCTGCAAGTGAGCTACTACAGAAGGGACCAGACATCAACGAGACTTAGACACTGAGTGATGTAGCTGGATAAGGCAGTGCAGGAGGCAACATGGTAGCCACGTTTCTCTCTGCTTAGAGAAGTTGGCTCAGGGATGAGAAGCCACCGGAGAACAGCAAAGGAAGTCTTATTCACTGGGTGTTCGGTGGAGGGCTGGGAGCCTGGAGA